AAACCAAAATGTGCAAGGTAGAGGTGTATCATCACCTGTCGGTATGCTTAAAGCTGTTACCATGTCTTACATGGCATCCTGAGCTGATGTTGATAATGATTTTCCTGTTACATGAGGGAATTGTTTATTCCTAGCACGGCGGTGAGTATCTGGAGGGCACAAAGACCTGTGTCCTGAATTGCACATTTTATGCACAGGTTTGGTTGTTATGAGTGTTTTTAATGTCTCCCTCCTCGCAGAGGCCCAGCAAGAGCTGCTGAAGGACTCAAGACCTTTGAAACTTCATGGTTCCCCTGAGGGCTGCAAGAGATAATGTCCTTCCTGACCCTAAATCACAAAAGCCCACACCTTTATATTAATTGGGGGGGATCATTTCTAAGAAGACTGAGCATGAGCCCTGCTTTACAAGAGTAAAAGGCACGTGAGTATCCCTATAGCTTAACGTGTCCGTGGACTTCAGGTTCCTTCACGTGGTAGATGGACAGCAGCTTCTGTCTGGGTCCTGGCCATGCCCAGTGCATCGCCTCCACCCTGGCCTCTCTGCAGCCCAGCATGAGGCAAGGGAGATTTAGGTTAGATATTAGGAAAAATTTTTTACTGAGAGGGTTGTCAAACATTGGAACGGGCTGCCCAGGGAAGTGGTTGAGTCACCATCCCTGGAGATATTCAAAAAGCGAGTGGACGGGGTACTTCAGGACATGGTTTAGTGGGCATGGTTGATGGTTGGACTCGATGATCTTGAAAGTCTTTTCCAACCTAAATGATTCTATGATTCGAGGGGCCACCTTCTCTGCGGACACTGGGGATCACCCACGTTTAAAGGTCCTGCCGTGTAAGCACCTTTCGCACCCTGGAGAGCACGTTTTAGTTGTGCTAAGCCGGCAGATCACTAGATGGCCTCAGAGCCTCAGAGATTGGGTCAGACGCAGGTTCAGGCTGCGCCATCGCCAGGTTGATTTTTAAACACCTGGCACCCTAAGTGCTGCAGGACGTGGGATCGTCACCTCAGGCAACGCACAAAACGCAGCGTGAGGAATTGGGGACACCCTGTCCCGCAGGGAAGCTAGAGAAAACCACCTTTGTCCCTCTCGTTGCCAGAAGCTGCCTGTATTCCCTAAATCCCGGCGGGTTGGACCGGAGACCCGGGGGGGGCCGTCGGAGAGCAGCCGGCATCTCTCTCCCCAGCCTCCCTCGGCTGGAGCCGGCTCATCCCGCAGCGAACGCAGCCCCTGCGGGCAGGACGGCTGCGGGATGGTGGCGGCGGGACGGCCACCGGCCAACCAACCAACCCGGCCACCGGCCAACCAACCCGGCCACCGGCCAACCAACCAACCCGGCCACCGGCCAACCAACCTGGCCACCAGCCAACCAACCCGGCCACCGGCCAACCAACCAACCTGGCCACCAGCCAACCAACCCGGCCACCGCCTCCGGGCCCGGCCTGGCCTGGCTGCACCCGCGGGGGGACCGGCCCTGGATCCCCGGGGGGTCCCTGCGGGGAGGACGGTGGCCGGGGAAGGGGAACACACAGGAGGGCTCGGTTCCTTGTCCAGCCGCCGGCGAGTCGCTGTCGCTGCCGGTGCAAAGGCAGTTTGGGGGCTCGGGGGGGAAAGCGGCTTGTTTGTGGGTTTGTCCGGAGCGGAGCTGTGTCCTCCTGACACGACAACAACAACGACAACAGCAACGACGCGGTGCTTTGCGGGAAGGCCTCTCCCTCCTGCCCAGCCGGAGAGGGTCTGGGGAGGGGAGAAGCAAGGGGGTCTTCAGAGCAGTTGGAAATATTTACGGGACGGCCAGAGCGCGGGGAAGAGAAACACGCAGAGGGGAAGGCAGGTTCGGCTTGTCTGAGGAACAGACCCGGCACTGGAGCACTGGCTGCGGGGGGGGCTTTTGGTGGCCGGCACCTGTTTGCAATGGCTGTTGCTTTTTCAGAGAGGTTGGGAAACCTTGGTTAGGCCATGCCAGATTTGACAGTGCCCTTGATCTGATGTGCAAAGGAAGAAAGAAAAAAAAAAAAAAATCTCATTTTCACTGCTGTCAGATTCGGGCATGTGTTGTTACTCCTTTTGCCATGTGGGTTTTTATTAACATTCTAAACCGCAGAGCTAGTTTACACCGACGCAGGTCTTCTAAAAGCGCTAGAAGCAGGAGCAGAGCCAGCACACGGCACTGATCAGCGGTCCGGGTCTAGAGAGGGGCAGGCCCAGGCCGCTGCCCCGAAGCGCCGCGGTACGGAAAACAACGACCCCGAGCACCAGCGAAGGCTCCCGGGGGCCGAAGCTGCCGGGCCGGGGCCCGGAGCCGGGGCCGCGGCGCTGCCGCTTTAAGGGCGGGCGGAGAGCGCGGCCCTCCTG